GAGTGTTAGCGATGCTAATGTAAACACCGACCATATTACGTCCAACACAGTCGGGCATTGTTTCTGATAGCAACGTTTCTGATAGGGCCGTGGGTCCACATTTCTGATATTACGTCATATCGGACGCAAATCTGGATCAGCTCCGTTGTACCCCCGTTTTTAGAGATTTGGGTACGGAGGAAAAGAGAGAGGGTTTTATTTTCTGACGCTGCGTGAGTTCCCCGACACACCGGGGACACATCTTGATGTATAAAAGACATCAAAAAGTGCATTTTGCATGATAGGTCCCCTTTAATAATAAACAAACATAAATTATTTTATAAAATGATTTTGCATCATAATGGATTAAGATACCTAGCAATATAAAAAGTATTAAAGCTCTACCTTTACCTGCAACACATTCATTATTTAATGAATTAATGAATTACTTTTATAATCCAGCAACATAGAATATATTATTTGGAAATAGAAGATGACCCTTTTTTAGCCCCCAAGGGGTAATCAGTTTTCCACTCAGTTAAAGTGCACATATTATGAATACACAAATGCATATAGGACAGATTCAGTTTGAATACAGATACACAAACCCATGTATTTTATTGTATGAGGAGCAGAGAGGCTGACAGGTTGTCTGCCGTAAAGGGTTTGTTATTTTTTGGTCCGATCAGGACGTGAACTGGCAACCCTTCGGTTCCCAAAAAAAAGAAAATGTCCCCACGAACGGAGCTACTGCCGCCCTGTTCGGCACAATCGTTTATTTTACTTTTGGTATATTTGGACTCTAATACCTTAGTGCTTTTACTTAAGTAACATTTCGCCTGCAGGACTTTTATTTGTAACTGCGTTTCTGTTCCCTTTAGGTATTACTACCTTTACTTAAGATCCGAGTCATTCTTTCACCAGTGCTCTTACAGCTGTCCTCCTGAAGTCTTTAACATTTTTAGCCATTTACACATTTAGAGGTAACAATAAATTACTCAGTGTTGTTGTTTAAAGTATTAAATGTTTAGAATCTTCTTGTGAACTTGTGACCTTCAGATGGACTTCTCTCACCTCCGGCTCCTGGCAGCGCTCTGTCTTTTCTCTGCATCTCTCCGGGACATTTCTTTCTAGCAACTGAGCCCCTGCTGCAGTTTAAAACATTCACATTACATCTCAGCCTCCCCATAAGCCCCACATATGCAAATGAAGCAGCGTAATAGGCAGTGCGATAGGTTTGCCCCGGGGTTCATGTGATCAAAGCGGATCTCCTCCCTGTTAAGTGGCAGTCCGCTCGTCATCTGGATACGGCCAGATTAGCGCCTCGCGAGGAGACGCCGCCATACACATTTTCATCTGGAATTTTAAGGAGATGATTGGGAAAATGTTACTTTATGTAATGCGTTCTCCCGCTAGATAGAGCAGAGGAAGTGTCCTACTCAAAACACCCCTCTTCCATCCTCTTTCTTCCTTTTTTTTTCATGCTTAATGGCCGTCGTTTCTATTCCTCCGTGCCTCTCTGATTTTCATCACCTGTTTGTGTCACTGCGGAGTCTGTCGGCAGCTCACACATCTGTGCAAATTTCATCAGGATAATGAGCCCGAGCTACTCTTCCAGGCGAGAAAAAGCCTCTCTCTTAAAGCCCTTTTCACTGATCACACACACACACACTCACAAAATAACCACCACCTCCAAACAATCATCATTTTAGGGAGATGGAATTACAGAGTGTTATATACTCAAGCCGGCGTGTAAACTGAGCCAATTTGTTTTTTTAAAGGCCGGTGCAGTGTGTTGTGAAACTATTCTTGCAATGCCAAATCTATCCCGACCACTCATTAACACAAGACCGACAAATAAATAGCAGGAATGGTAAAAACTCAGGTTTATTGTCTCGTCTAGTCAATTTCATTTAAATTGGCGACAATCACAAATTCACCTCAAAGGGGCATTAACCTCTACACAACATGCAACTTCTCCATCCTTAGACTTAGCATTGTTGAAGGAGAGAAGCTTCAGGAAGAGCAACAGAGAAGGGGTCCCTTTTCCAATGTGTATCCATGATCCTCCACTCAGGTTTAAGTAGCTGAGTGTGTGAGAAAGTGATATCACACACACACTGTGGCTCCAGATAATAGGTGATTTCAACAGCTTCAGTCAAATAATTAGTATTGCTCACAGTCTCTTTTTTATCCTGATAGCATAACAAAGCTATATACCTTTTCACAGTATATAAACTAGCACAAAACCTGAATATAAGTCATAATTTATTTACTTCCGGTACCTTCCCCTCGAAGGCAATAGATAATACTTTTTTCTTAGTTACCTGATATTAGATCTCTGGTTAATACAAGCTTAATATATTTTAACGTTTAGCTCTACAACGTTAAAATGTCATTCAATGTGGTGTCTTTCAAAAAATCAGTTGCTAACAAGTGTCTGAATTGAACTACTAAACATCCGCCATTATCTTAGTGGTGGAAATGTGAAGTCATGTGACCGTGATTCATTTAAAGCCTA